AAGGATGCGGACGACAATCCACCGCAGTTTTCTGCAGCGACCTACACAAACAGTGGGTTGTTTCCCTTCTCAGTTTAGGCTTTACGATTGTTTTTGTTGATTCGTTTATTTCGTGCGTCTTGTTTTTTGTATTTGCTTGTTTGCTTGCTTTTTTTGTTTGTACTTGGGGTTTTTTTTTTGGGGGGGGGGGGCATAATTCAGACTGATGCTCTTCGAAGTGTGTCCCCAAAGAAGCAAATAAAACATACTTAAATTTAAAAAATCAAATCGCTCAAATCAAATAGTTTGGAAACGTAGAGAAAAAGGCTCTTCTCGACAAAGTTTCTCAGTACGCTATCATTCTGGGTTTTGAAAAAAAATGTTCATTTAGTTTTACCTTTCTCTATTTTTTTAAACTAGGTGACTGTTTTCATAAGAGTCGCTAGCAAACTGTTAGGAGCAAGTATTCTTAAGAAGTCCATTCTTCTCCTCATATCCTCAGGGTTTTTCAAAATGTTCATTACTGTCGGAACAGAACAGTAATGTTTATTACGTACTTTTCTTACTACTACTACTAAAAACATCAACCTTCATGTAGCACAGGAATTCACTTCTGTTCGTTTCTGCTCAAATTCCAATCAGAAAGCCGGATACGGTCTCGGGCCAAGGTTTACCAAGTGGTGGGACTCAATAGATAATTCATTCATTCATTCCTTCTTTCATTCCTTCATTCCTTGATTGATTGATTGATTGATTGATTGATTGATTGATTGATTGATTGATTGATTGATTGATTGATTGATTGATTGATTCATTTATTAATTAATTAACTTTTTAAAATCCATTTAGATAAAAGCCCGGAAAACACGAATTTAAAAGAACATTAGATTTCGTGTTAAGCAGAGTTCTTTTAAGACGAACAAAAATAAAGAGTTAATCTACTTTTCATCTTCTTCTTCTTCTCGATCGCATCACACTTGAAGTCCGGTATCTGTCATAAATTGGGCCGTCCTGGTCAGTTCATCTGGCGGCCCGTATAGCTTCTCTTGTAGCGTCAGTGGGGTTGGCCACGTTTCGAGGTTTGGGGCCCGGCACTGCACCTGTCTGGTGGGTCCTCACAGGGCGAGCACCATATCTAAAGTTACCTTCTTCAAGTGTCATAATATTGCAGTATTACGTGGTATTGTGGTTCTCTAGAGTGCGCCTTGCGGCCCAATACCCCCGATTTCAGCACTCCAGCTCCAGGTCCAAGGACCTACCCTGGGAGCACAGGGAGGAATTGTTACCGGATCCCACCCGTAGCCAGGACTTAATGCGGTCCTTTTCCGCATGATGCTCCCGTCAGAGGACTCCTAGGGCATTTAATGACGTGGTAGTGCCACCTACCACCTCACCCCGTCCTGGTAAGAGCATCGCCAGTTGGTCCAGGGCTGCTTATTCAACATATTCACAGCTAACCTCCATTACAGTGGCCGTTCCCTATCCGCCACCTGGGACCCGCCGGGTCGGGGATGGTCGCCCCACCCCGGATCTACTTTTCACATTCTTACACATTTCAATGTAATAAAAAAAAAGAAACTTCTAATCGTGGATCGCTTCTAACGACTTAATTATTTTCACAGATGTATTGGAACACGCAGCCATTGGCTTAGTTGTGGTCAACCTGGTGACTTCTGACCTTGACGAAGCTGGCACAGACCTAGCCACGCCCACTTATGGTTTTGAAGGCGCTTGTAACCCTAACGATGACTGGTTCCGAGTTGATGCTCATACAGGTAGGAAATACGCATTAGCCCGTGTGTTCACCGTATCAGAAACTAACTGATCAATTGTCGTCCGTCTCTCGAGAAGTCGGTAGTTGAAAAAGAACGCGGGAATCAGAGGGAATTCTATTTGGACATGTCCATCAAAACGACACGACTCCTCCCAGCAAAAGGTCGGGCGTGTGGTGACTCATCACCCTAGGCTAAAAAAAAAGTTTCTAATTCTATGTCCTGATTAAAAATATAATGTTATATTCGTAATCAGCACCTCAAAATTGGCAAAGATAAGCACAAACAACCGATTTGAAAGCATATTAAGTTTTATTATTTTTGATGAAAGAAAAGACTTTTCGTGGTTTGATATCCCCGCTTCGCATTCCTTAATCTTCGACCTCCTGTAGACAAGAAATGGGATCGTTTCTGCTTTGATAGACACGAGGCCTAATTCATACAATTATTGTCTCTTATGCTGCCCAAGCGGAGACAGGTTTGGCCATTTTAACACTTTCACTTTCACTACCAGAATTGTTATACGATCTCACCACATAGATGAAGAAAGCGCATTTAAGGCGGATAATCTTTTTTTAGTGTGAGCCAAAACAAAGCGTCCAGAATCTTGTACACTCCCATCCATAGTCGCAATTGAGATCATGTTACGAGTTGGGCATCTCAATGAACACCAAAATGAAAGTCCTGAAGTGCTATGTTTGGTCAACCCTTCTATATGGCTGTGAATGCTGGACAATCACTAAAGACAG